ATGTTGAAAAGGGTTCCAGGAAATTTGGGCAATAGACTAAGGGGTATCACTCGTCGTCTTCAGATGATATCTATCCATGAAACTCTTCATAATATAATTTCACACAAAGTGAAAATCACCTCTACAATGATATATACGTGTATTTACCGAAATGCAGCTGCGCTTGTTATAAAAGTATGTAGTTTATTTTTAATTCTTATTGCTGACCCAAAACTGTCTGTCGTGGTTAACCTACCAATTGACCAGACTGTACCCGCTCGTAGCCGGTCAACCTGGGCCGAACCTCGCAAAGGTAAGTGACGCCATGCCTCCTGAATTCCTCGCACTAATGGTATTAGAGATGCCCACGCATCTTCGAAAGTTGAACTTGGCCCCGAAGAGACTAGTTCTTCTAGCTTGTTGCCGGTAGACTTGGTGAAGCCAGTGCTGCTTAAGTTCGAGACTGCATCACCGAAGGATATCTGTGAAGCATTCGTGGAGGATAATGAGAAGATGGAGGATAACGATAATGAAGAGTGGGTGGGGGGGGATGTGACGCTTAGCGGTGCCGTTGATACTGGTGCAATATTTATTTGATCGTTGAAAGAATTGCTTCTGTTGCTGGCGGTGGGTGGGCTGGTTGAGGGGGTGGCAGAGGTAGACGAAATTGCCGAAGATCTCAAAGCAATTGTTGCTTCGCAGACAGGGCGTTCTGAGACGCCAGCTTTGCTAACTATGAGGCTGGCTGAGTCAAATCCGGCCGGAAGTCGTCTCTCTGGATAGCTCCAAATCTCGGAGGCTAAGCAACTGGGAAGGTGGCCACTGTTATTGTCATCAGTCATAAGACGGATGTTGGGCTCAGCCAGCTTATTCGGCCATGCTTCAGTTTCAGTGCTTAGGAAAGCGGTCGAGTGGTTTCGCTTTCCTCCAACTCCCGAACCAAGGTCTGTTGCAGTGCCCAAGGCACTATCCAGCCGCAAATCAGGGTTTAGATTAAACTCATTCATGTCAGGAGTGGCTTCAGCCCTGTCAGAGGTTCTTTTTTGCGAACGCCTTGTTTGATCATCGGTATGGGCACCATTGTAGGTGTGGTTTGGATCCTCAAAGCTGGTTGATGATTGGGTCTGAGCACATGAGGCAGCAATAAAAGATGAGCAGGGAAGCGGCTGCAGAAGCAAATCTAGCAAATTCAACTCGTTGTGCTACACAGGGAAATGAAGGAGGAATAAGGCATGGGGAAATAAATTGATTCTCAAGTGGATATGGAAAAAGATATAGTGCCAGCAGATACTAGTTTTTTTCCTATTTTTATCCAGCTTTCTATCTTGTTCAAGTTTTAACCAAGAAGCACGAGCCCATGGTTTTCCGAGGTCTAATTAGTTGAAGAACAAGTTGATAAAATGCACAAAAACTCTAACATTATACCAAAATCCCGATATTTACTGTTTGATTGCATGTTTTATAAATGATATGTTAGAATAACTTATAATTTCCCCTTCGCTTGACCAGTAACTTGCTCTTCTTGAGCAAAGGTTGCATATTAGCTCAAAGATATGAAACTTAGGGTTGCATTAACATATATTTATTATTCCATTCATTTGGTCGCCTTATCTAGTTGCCTACTCGAGCAAATATGTGTATCATCTTTTGAAGCTCATTCTACTGTTCCAATGCATATTTGTGCACCACAAAATGTTACCCCTATACCTCTATGAAGAGATAAATCTATAAAATTGAAACTACAAAAGACATTTGTAATGGGCAGTTAACTGTAATAAAGCATTAAACAAGCCTCCATATTTCCACGTGCATCCCCATAAGCATACCCTAGACAGCGCTCTGGCTATCCTTAGTTTGGGATTGGTATGCGGTTTCTAGTATATGCTGTGAAAGAAGTAAATCTTCGAAAACCGGTTTTTCAACATATCAAGAAGTAAATCAACACATAGGAAGTATACTTGATAATAGTAGAAACCATAACTCGAAACCCTACTCATTACGGATACGATAAACCAAAATTATAAAGATTGCCTATCCATATTATAACATAAACACTCATTCTCTGAGCAAGTGCTTAGTTACTGTAGGCAAGCTAAAGTGATTTGAGTAGAGATTTTTGAGTTTTCCCAAGATGCCACTATACTTCACTTAAAATTGTCGCCAAAACAGTATTTTCATGTATGGTGGACTGCAGTTTCGACTTTGCTTCATCGTCTCATCAGCTTACCAAAACAGGATTCGAAACATGGTCGTTTGCACACGTTAGCATCTTTGCCCCACACCCATGGGTTCCATCAGGTCATAGTGCAGATATGGCTTGCCTGGTAGTTCATGCCTCTGCTAAATCACATTTTTCAGTGTGAGTTTCAACTAAACAAATATACATTCACCACATTCGCAAACTCGAAACAGCTACTGACTTTCTCTATGGGTTGGCTTCAATTCATGTTGGTTGAAGAGACCCGGACAAGGTCGAAACTTCTAACTGCTCTGAATGAGAAAATCGTTTAGGGATAAGACTAAGTAAGGCAAAATAGCATCGTGATGCCTACTCATGTCACTGTGGGATGACTATACGATAGTCCTTAAATCATCTTAAACGGCCTAGGGTGACTAAACTCTTATTTAAGGATTACTGTAAATTTCGAAACCTGCTAACACAAAAATCATCCTTTGTTAATACAGACATGCTACTGACATCACTTCAGTAGTGTCGAGTGTTCAGGTTTTTTTGTCTAGAACTAAAGTGGAGAACTGCTTTTCCGTGAAAGCCTATGTAGTTCATAATTATGTGTTGAAAGCATCTTACTACTCAAATGTTGATGATACTAATGCACAAAACTGCGAGATATGTATGTTACTAGTGTTAGGTATTTTAGTTAAGGCACAGCTTACCGAGGGCGGCAATGCCCAAAACGAAGGGTAAACGAGGAATACACATAAAAACTAGAGTAATTATCAATTGGTCCACAAATCCCAACTTCGTATGTCGTCATCCAGTTTGTGTGAAGCGCTAATATTAAATAACCAATAAAGCCATCAAAGCTCACATTTTCAGCATAATTAAATAGAGTTTTTTATAAGAGACTATAGCTAAGCATGTCTTTTAATATTGTCATGAAAAGCGGCCACATTTTAATTTAG